CTATAGACCCCCCCACCCCCCCCCCCACAATAACTTTTCATGGAGTATCCTCGTTTCCGATAAGCTCTTTAAGTTTCTACATGTATGTCCACAAACATTACTTGCAATTCTTTACACAAGACAACTAAAATGACAAAAAGAAGTTTCACTGTAACTACAAGAAGTATCCTTGGTTTCTTAAAATCCCTTTCACTTACGTTTCTTAGTAAATAACTTATTGCCAAACTGCCACTATTTTATAGACCAACCACTAATAATATCTTTTTAAGGAGCAGGGGTAATTTAAAAAAAAAAAATAGTCTTTCAAACAGTATACACTCAAATACTCAATGGCTCACACAATAAGTTTAAATTCCCCCTTTCAGTTATATGGACTAACCATGTACTAAAGTCACAAGAATAACAAAAATATCTACATAGCCTTCAAATATGCCAGCTGCCACTCAAAACTAAAAGAAGAATTAAGAGAGCGCCGGGTCAATATCTAATGTATAAATGGCAGATATGGTACCCTATTCAAAAGGCTAAAAGGCTTCTGTATACCCTGGCTCAGTCCATGGGACACAATCATTTGGCAATACTGTGGTCTGGACTAAATCAAACCCCATATTTTTATATTTACCACAGGTAAAGTAACTATGCGAGATTCTGATCTGCAGCAACACGGACGCCACTACAGATGGCACGGGGACTGGAGTGTGCTAAACAGGAGCAAAGCTTAAGTTGGCATACCTAGAAAGTTAAGGAGACAGCCCACCTTGGTCAGTAGTATGATGCAGAGTAAGCCATGTTCAAAGGAGCCTATTTAGTATATAAAAAAGTGCAAAGCTGCTTCTGTCTCTGTTAGAAGTCTTCACCCCTGACTCACTGTGCTCGTCGGTATTAAAAAGATCCACAACTGACATTCACTCCCACCCTGAAGCTACGAAACTCCAAGCTACAGGAGGAAAAATAGACTTTTCTTTACTTCATTTATAGGGAAGCGTTGTCAGAGCCCTACCCACAAGGAGAAGAGACAACAGCTGCCTTTATTTAACTGTTTTTGTTTTTAAACTTCTCAAAGTCAGCTAACTCTTTCGGTCACCGGCGTTCTGGTGTCAATGGGTTCCTCCCTGCTCGGCCGTTGTACAGATGGAGAAACAATGTCTTTTCGTTCGCCTTCCCCTCTGTTTCTGCACTTATCTGCAGGCTGAGTCTTAGGTGGTTCCTGTGTACAACCATCACTCTCGGGTACTTTGTCCTCTTTGCAAATTTTGACACTTAAGTCCTGTGGCTCCTGGGCTCTAATGCTGTCCTTCGAAGTCTCTGGCTCCAGGCTAGTTGTGGATGCCTTGGATTCGGAGTGGTGGTGGTGGTGATGATGATGGTGATGCTGCTGCTCCTTTTTAGGCGGAGTGCTCTTGCTCTTAGGGCTACTCTCTTTGCTCTCTGGGCTTTTTGCAGGGTTCGGTACCTTTGCGCACTTTTCGGTGACAACAGACGGAATCTCTGGGGTCTCTGTGTCTATAACCTCCAGGCTCACAGTTTCCCGTGTCTTGCGTTTTTTAATTGGTAATACAGTCTCTAAGAGGGGCTTAACGGAAGACTCTTTGATTGCTTTCTTCTTTGCGGCTTCAGCTGCTGCTGCTGCTGCAGCAGCAGCTGCAGCAGCAGCAGCTGCAGCAGCAATGCTGGCACTACCTGGCTTGCGGCCCCGTTTTTTCGGAGCTGCTGGCGGGTTGGTTTCTAATTTTCTTTTCCGGCCTGGGCGCTTGATGACAAGCACCTGCTCTGACGTGGTTGCATCAGATTCTTCTTTGTTTCCAGATAAAGGCATTTTGACAAGAAGTTTTCCTGGAGTCTTTTCAACTACTCTCTTAACCTGAACACCCCCTAGCTTGACTGTCGGCTTCCCCTTCCCACTTCCTTTTGGCCTTCCCCTTCCTCGGCCAGTGCCGGTGGATTTTGGAGCCTTGGGTTTTTTCGGTTGTTTCTGTTCCCTTCGAGAGGGACTTCCTCTTCCGGTGACAGTGAAATCAAAATCATTGGGATCGAGGGATGTGTCGCCTACTTTTTGGAAGTATGCTATAAGCTCGACTTTGGACCGAAAAGCTTTTCCACTCGGGCTATTTAAAAAAAAAAAAAACAAATATCAGATAAACAAGCAGTAGAATAAGCAGTGCATGCTTTGCATATCAGCATGAAAACCTTTGGTAAGGCATGTTATAATATAGATTATATTATATATCAACACATTCATAGCTAGTGTATGTAAAATTGTGTAAGTAGTTACTTGTGGAGGAAATATTGCTGCACAATGAATGTGTTTGAAGGAAAATATCCTGCTCGCGTGTACACCTTCTAACAGCCTGTAGGTGGTGCTGCCTGCCAAGTTTGAGTGCAGTGCGTTAAGGCAATCTTTATAGTATTACTGTGTCATTGCTGCTTTTGTGCTGAAGCAGAAGAAAAACAGAGGCCTTGTAAGGCAACCGTATCATAACAACTGTTTAGAAAAAGAAAAAAGATGAATAACTTAAACCCCCATTTCACCTTTTACAAATTTCCCACTTGTGATATATTTGAGGTGCTCCTAAGATTTTCTCAGCTGAATTTAATTAGCCCCCCCCCTCCCTTTCCATGCGGATGGGTACTATTTTGGCCCCTGCCCAGTTTCTGCTTTTATTTTACTTGCCATGGATGATTTGTGAACAGAGTTATGAAAGAGTGTTGAAAAGATGGAATTGCATTAACCCGAATAGAACTACCAGTAACAGTATAGCTCACAACAGTGGATGCAAAGAAAGGTGAAGGAAAAAAAGAGAAAATGCAGATAATGAATCATAAATTGATAAAAGCCAGAAGCAATGTTAATACACAGTATTCAACCAAAAATAGTGTGCAAGCATGCAAGGTGCATTACTTTTTTCTATGGTGTAAATGTGGCGTTTTACCCTAAAAAAAGTCTATTTAAGCTTGTGTTCTCAATCACTTAAATATAATCTGTTGCAAAAGAAAAATTGGAAGCGTAGATGTTGGTTTATTTTTTTTAAGGGGCAAGCTTTAGAGTTCCCTTCATTGTCCTCTTTTCGCTATTAAAGTGAGTCCCCGACTAGGTCAATCAAAGTCCCAACACATTGATGGTTCACCCATGTTTCTATCAGGTCAGTGAGCAAGTAGTAAAGTTCAGGGTCAGGGTGACTGTTCCGGAGCAGACACCTTAAAAGAAAATGATCAATGGCTGCTCCATTTCTTTTCCCCAGGCAGGTCCCCTGTTACAGGTAGGCAGCTATTCCAAACCCGATTTAGGACATCAGCTAAAGAAATTACATGCAAATGTAAAAAAAACTTGAATCACAAGTAAATGTAAACCATTTGTTGTTTAAAACTGAAGATAAATATTCGATATCTGGGTTGCCTAAATGATAACTTTTTACCATACTATTTGGATACAGTATTACAACCTTACTGTAGACACTGAGGCCTACTACACATTTTTTATTCACTACAAAAGCAGTATATGGCTGCAAAGTAGGGTTGCACAGATACCAAGTACAGTACTCGGTACAAGTACATGTACCGATACTTTTGAGCTCCAAGACTAGACTAGAGAACCGGCCTTCTCTAACATTAGTACCTGACCTCACAAATGGTCCAACATTCCCATAGACACACTCCTAAACCTTGTGGACGCCTTCCCAGAAGAGTTGAAGCTGTTATAGCAGCAAAGGGCGGAGCCAACTCAATATTGAACCCTATGGACTAAGACTGGGATGCCATTAAAGTTCATGTGCGCGTAAAGGCCGGCGTCCCAATAATTTTGGCAAAATAACGTATATATCCCAGCAACACCAAAGGATGCACACAATTGTCTTACGCTATCTGTATCTTATTCTTTCTATTATTTGGCACTACCTTTCTATTTTTTGTTCATTTGGATATAATCACTGATGCCGCTTCACTATATACCTTGAATCACAAGCAGGGTATGCTTCATCCCAAATGAACAGGTGGCAGTTCATATGATTGGACCTGCAGCAGTAATACGGACTTAATGGCAAAAAGATGCAACAGTTCATCTAAATGGATAAGCTGCAGTAATGTGGTACACAATGGCAGTATAATTGTGAAAAGTTCACATAATTGGATTTGTAGCGTAATACAGACTTAATGGCAAAAGATGCAACAGTTCATATAACTGGATCAGCTGCCGTAATATGGTACTCAATGGCAGTATAATTGTGACCGTTCATTTAATTGGGTAAGTCCCCTTTAAGCAACTGAGATTGACTAAAGTTGCGGCTTGATACTTGCGGTTTGCAGGTATGGAGGTGACCTCTGAAGCACAAGGGAGCTCAGTCCTGGATGGAGATCTGGCAGAAGGAGGGTTGCCTTCCCCATAGCCCTGGAGAGTTAACAAGCAGGCGGGGAGATGGAGTCCACAGCAGCCAGAGGGGAGAGGTGAGTCAGCTCCACGCTGACAGGCGATCTCGTTAGAGGACCGGTGGCCGAGGCAGAGAGGCGAATCGCTCCAACGTCATCCACAATAACAGGGCGCTGGAGGATTCAAACCTCGCGGCTGAAACTGAGAGCCGGCGGGAGGAGCGTCAGCCCGCCGAGATGTGATTGGACAGCGGTTGATGCTCTCTACAGTCCGCCGCTGGGACATATTACAACCGCTTAGGGTACATGGCTGCGCTTTAAAAAATTACATTTTTCTTTAGCGTGTTAATGAGGAAGGTTTGATTGCATTATCAACAACAATTCCAGTATGTATTCATATTACAATGCTGATGTCATAACAGGAGAGGATATGCTGGGACTTTACAACTCCTTGCATCTAAAACTAGAACCGACAGGTGAAGAAAGCGGAACAATAATCTTATCAGGGTGGTGATGCTCCTTCACTGTCCAGTCAGCAGCCTGGGGGTTGGTCAATGACCAAGCAGTATTACTTAACTGTAGTGGAGAAAACCAAGCTGATTGAGCTTGCTATGGTCTTTGGTATGAATATTAGGCTGTAGCTGCACGGTCAACGTCAAAGTGGCTATCAGAGCCATATTCCCAGAATTGATTAGTGATATGCTTTTAGATTTTTTTTTTTTTTTATATTAATCCTATTGGACGCCACTGGTCCACCTCCCGACACGCTACATAACAGGATCCGGACGTAGTGGTGAAATACACAGAGAATAGGCAAGATATCAAGAGGAGAGTGTAGTAGGTGCAGACGATGGCAGTGATTTTAATTATGACTAGAGAATGAATTGCTTGATTTTTTTTTTAAATCAAAAGGAGTCTTACATATTAGGTAATATGTGTGTGTGAGAGCTGAGGGAGCGCCATCTGGTGATTTTGAAACTACTGATGCGGTTAAATCTCTGATGAGGATTGTATGAACTGTGGTGCACCCAGGATACATTGTGTATCCTAAAAGTGACACTAAACTCAAGAGTTAAATCTTAAAAATGCATTTAAGTAACTTAACTATTAACAATGTAGCCCCTATGTATAAGTTGCTACTGAAATAATTGATATTCTGCTTGTAAACAGTTAACTGACCTTGTGCATCCTGTGAGGTGGAGACTTGTGGGAGTTGCAGTGCAGAGCAGGAGACTGGTGGTGCTGTGTGAGATCTTTCAGACTGCAACTGCCACGAGGCTGTGTTTCTGAGAGGAGGGGTGATTCTGGCCTGGTGTTGCTGAGCACGCTCAGTGCGGGAAATCCCAACCAACAGGACAGGCCTGTGTAATCTTGTCTTGGGGAATTTAATGTGAGAAACAGAACTGTGTGGCTGCCACTGATGCAGAGGAACTCACAGACTCTGTGTATACTGTCAAAGAGAGCGCAGGCAGATCAGACAGCCTCCAGAGAGACTTCATCCGGTTCTGCGGGATATCGGGAATATCGCGGCCTGGGCGAACGTCCGAGCCAATGCTGTGAGTGATTCCAGAAGGCCCAGCAATCTGAAGGGAGCCTGATGGTGTTGACAGGGAAAGCTGCACAGTGCCTTTCGGTGACCAGAGACCTTCTGTAAGAGACCCCCCAGATGACTTCATCATCCGAGGTGTCGGCTTGAGAGAAAGGGGACGGACATCATATTTTCTGACTGATCCTGGGAGTGGCGAGAGGTCTTGGCCATTTGTGGTGTTTTTCCATTCACATCTAAAATACAGTATGGGCCCCAACGAGGGCTAGCCTAGACTATTGCTACTGGCCAGTGGTATAGAGAGTGAGAGACTAATTGAGACTGAAACATTAGTATTTCTGTGTTCAAAGTCAAGGATAGTATCTGAGGTGGCTTAATATTGCATATTTCAGAATACGGACAGCTGCGGTTACCGAGTGTCAGAGTACCCACTGTGTATTGCTAAGTGTTATTTTCACCAATTATTGTGTTCATTATTACATTGTTTTATGCATTTGTACTAATTGTTTTAATAAAGCCGCTACAAAAAACTCTCTAAGGTGTGTTGATGTGCTGTGGATCCTGTTTGTGTGGTACATTTGGCTTGGGGGACAAAAATATCCGGGTTACTTTGGCAGCTCCTTCGGGGGTGAGCGCTAAAACAAAAATGTATCTTGTGTATCACTCGGCTGTAGGTCCTCAAATCATCTCTGAATTGGTGCCGACACTGTCCTTCCTTCTGGAGGGGGGCTACTTTTGTTCCCCATGGTCCCTGTGTGTGTAGTAAAGTAGCCACCACTCCAAGCTCACTCCTGTGATGGACTACAATCTCAGGTTTAGATTACTAATTTGTATTGAGATTGTAGTCCATCCCGGGAGTGATTTTGGAGCGGTGACTACTCTACAACACACACACACACAGGTACCATGGGGAACAAAAGTAGCCCCCCTCCAGAAGGAAGGACAGTGTCCGCACCAATTCAGAGATGATTTGAGGATTTACAACTGAGTAATACACAAATAAGATACATTGTTGTTAATAGTTAGTTAAGGTACTTGAATGCATTTTTAAGATTTAACTCCTGAGTTTAGGGTCACTTTAAAATGATATCAACCCATGAAGAAAAAAGTGGCATTGCCCCCCCGCGGTATTATCAACTGCAAAATGACAAGCCCACTTTATAATCAGCTAGTTGCTTACTTGATCAAATAAACATCATATTTTCCAGCTGAGCGTCCAGACTTCCTCTGCTTGAGCTTTCTTGTCCAGCCTTCAGGAAGCGTAGGATCATCATACATAGGCCCTCTATCTCTTATAACAGACCGTCTTTGCTTAGGGAAGGCAGAAGCATCAGGAACAGCAGGTGCAGCAGCCTCTGTGCTTTCAGGTTCTTCAGCTTTCCGTGCTTCAGCGGGTTCTCCTGACTGCTGTGTTGATGGATGGCCTTCGTCAGATAGCTCTCCGTCATTGTTTTTATCCTTTTTTACTTTCCTGAGTTTTGGTGGTTTGTCTTTCTGATCTAAATCTTCTGCTTTTTCTTCCCTTGGGTGTAAAAAAAAAAAAAAGACAAGATTATACCAACAATATTTTAATAATGTATACACTCATTCAAAGTAAATTTGCCACATATGAATTTAACATACTAATGCTGTAGAACACATAACAAAGGAAATCAGTGGATTTGGAGCCTTTATTAAAAGCTGACCTTAACCACTTCACGACCCATGACGCGATAATCTCATCATGAATTTTGAAGGGGTTAATCAGACTTCCAGCGACTCTGTGCATAATCGTAGAGGCGGCGGCCAGCTTTACAGTAGAAGCGATTCTGGCTGCTTCTACGGTCTGGTAAACAAGCCCGGGACCGGCTTCTCGGGTGTCGGTGGGAAGGAGAGCGATCTTTTCCCCGTTCTATGGGACCGGGAGCGGCGTGTATTGCATCACTTCTGTTCCTATAGCAGTCATTGCTCAGCTCCTGAAGCCCAGCAATGAGCTACTGAAGTGCGATCTGCACTTCAATAGCTTATTTAGAGTGTAAAGGTGACACTGGGGGTCTTTTGGATCCCCAGCATCACCTTAAAGAGTACCTGAAACCACTAATATGCTATCACATGGGGGGCTTGTAAGCCCCCCCCCCCCTCTGTGTTGGCATTTAAAGAAAAATTTTTTTAAAAAGTTTTTAAAATATGAAATAAATAAAATGTAAAAATAATAAGTCCCCCGCTCCAGCGAGCATGCGCGTCGTCACGGAAACACGCGTCGGGTGCGCCTGTGTACGAAAACGACAATTGTGTTACACATGTTGGTTATCGCCACACACGCCAGAGTGAGAGCAATAATTCTAGGTCCAGTATTTATGCGTATCTCTAAACTGATGACCTGTAAGGGCTTTTAAAGCGTCGTCTATGGACTTTTTGGGGTACTGAATTTTGTTGCAGTTTCCCGGACACACACAATATTTAACCTGGGCATGTTGGGTATCTATTTACTCATTGTAACCTAATCTTTTAAATGTTACCAAAAAAAATGTTTTTATAGTGTTTTGAGGCACTAAAATGTAACAAGTTCATTTTTCACAAACTTTTAGGGTTTGATATTAATGTTGCGCTAATGTCGTGCAACATAGAAATTTGCAACTGGCACCATTTCATTCTACTGGATCTTGGCTTTCAGAAAATATATATTGTTTGGGGGTTTGAAGTAATTTTCAGCCCTAAAATTGGGATTATAACATGTAAACAAAAAATTAGAAAAGGCCTCTGCCCTTAAGGGGTTAACGCCCTATAAGCATATAGGATTGAAATCTCCCAAATTAGCTCCCTCATTTATACATTACATATAGAACCTACAACCTCTCGTAGCCAGTTGTGCACAAAATGTCTCTGACCTAGGCACTATTTAACGTGTACTCTGGACTTGTCATATAAGCTTATGGTACAAAACCTTATTCCAAGCATTACCCTCCCACTATGGAGTCCCAGATTATGGACATCAATTTTACTATATCTAAAATGTTATTAGAATGCAGAAAGGATGGTTATCGAAGGTCCATAGAGTCTAGGAAAGATACATAATTCACACGCTAACCTTTAACCTCTAGAACACAGCATTGCCCCCTCCTTGAATCCATTTAATGAAAACAACATTATTCTTAATGTTTTGTCAATGAAATGGACAGCCTCCAGCCTTTTTTCTCGCCCCACATACTTGTATTATTTCGACAATAAATCAAGTCTGCAATGTCAGCCACCTTTTTTCACAGCCCACTCTGAGGTGAGAATTATGTTGAAGCAAATGAAATAAATTCTTGACAATAACACAAAGACAGACCTGTTTGTTCTACAATCAATACGTATTTATGTAAAATATATATTTTTTATATCATAAGTAATATAGTTATTGCTGATTTAATAGCTAATTGGCTCTGGCACTGAACCGGTTAGGTATTATGTAAGCAATGGCCTTGATCCTCTGTCTTGGCAGCAATCCAGTGAAGCTGGGCAATGGTTCCCAAACCATATGTTGCAAACCCTATTTGGACAGTGTCATTAGAAAATACACATTTTAAATGCTGTTTTGATACTACCCTGTTTCCCTGAAAATAAGACCTACCCCAAAAATAAGACGTACTATTTTTGGGATTTGCTAAAATATAAGACCGACCCCGAAAATAAGACCTAGTTGTGACCATTCCCAGGGCCGGTGGTGGCATAAGGGGGAACTTGAAGAGCTGCGGGAGAGAAGCAGCAGTGCCAACAAAGCTAGCGCTAGAGGAAGTGAGGCGGCGGCATGCCTTCTCTATAGCGCCGACTCCTGTCACAGGCGGAGTGATACCAAATGCACTCCGCCTGTGAGGAATCGATAGTGAAAGTGCGCTTCGCTCATTGTGGCCAGCGATTGGATAGCAAATTGCTCTTGGAAAGGTACGGCACCCCTGATTGCCCTGATCACCATATTTTGTACATGAATACATGTAGACTTTTCTAATTTAATAAGTGTGGATTGTTGTACATTAAAAAAAAAAACCTACCCCGAAAATAAGACCTAGTGTGTTTTTGTGAGCCAAAAAAATATAAAAAATGTCTTATTTTCGGGAAAACACAGTATAATGTTTGGATCAGCCTTTTAAAAATAATTTGCTAAAATAAAAACACCTGTGATAAAAAAAAGTCAGCTAGCAACAACTGCAACATTTTGGATCGCTCATCACTTTCTGTCCCTTTGACAATGGTCACCCAAGCTAGATAGAAAGGGTAAATCTGCTCAATGGGGGCAAAGACAACAATAAACACTTTATCTAATAATCTATCCAAAACTAAAAAAAAGATTTTGGCTTTCAATTACTTGAACTTAATATTGCATTTAGTTTTATGAATACAGAATTTCTAATAACCATCTGCTTTAATAATATTGGCAGAATAATGAATCTTGTTGGCAAAAGTTTAACGAGGCTGTCACGGCAGATTTATATTATTTGTAAAGATAGTAAAGATGCTGGACTACACTTTGTTACACAACACTGTATAACAGGGCTGGACATATCCCAGGAGCCAGGTAGCCAGCGATGCTATACAAATGACAGCAGTCGACTAACTTTTAAGGTTTTCTCTAGCTCTTGTCAATGGAGCTGGCTTCTTAAAAGACCCTGCCAGCTTCTGAATTCCATATTAATTTTTCCACCCCTGCTGTACAAGTATGTAAAAATAAAACTTTAAAAACAAGCCATCTTAGCCCTTTATTGCAGAAAGGTAAAACAAACATTACGTCTGAATCCAGTTTTGCCCTGGCTACCTTCTTTTTAGTTTGTTTCTAGGGGCCCTTATTTTACATTGCACAGTCACAGTGCTGCGCGCACACGATAAAAATCCCAACAATACACAGCAGCGCATATATTGTAAGTGGCAGCACCGAATAAGACCCACCTCAGTGCATGTATGAGTATGGCCAGCTGGAAGGGATTTAATATCATGACAAAGCCACCATCGAGTCTACGTAAGCAAATATATATGCATATATATTATGAGCATAGATCTTTAAGACTTTTAACATTCCAAATAAATTGTACAAATATGGTATCACAAAAAAGTGGAAGTCAGGGCCTCATTCAGAATTGTCCACAATGAAAATCGGGAGAATCATTTACTTTGGAAAGCTATGTATGGGAAAGCTAAAAGTGAGAATATCTAAAAGGGAATATTTATAAAGAAGTCAATGTGACTTTCACCAAACATTCACTGGAGAATAATCAGTCATTTAAAACAAATACACCGGGAAGATTTCCCTTATGTCACTTTGAAAAAAAATATTAAAAAATTATGACAGACTTATAGTAAGCTTAAAAGACAAAATTCCATCTTGAATTATATATGATTATAATTATGTTGAATTATAATGCTATTAATCCAAAAGGCATAAGAAAATTGCACAGTTAGATGCCACTTATTCTTTAGAAAAAAAAAGAAGAGGTCTATGACAATGTTCAGCCCAGGGCCCAAGACAAGTTTATTGCTTTATTGCACGCAGACATGGAAAAGGTGAATAGGGCTGCCATTCACAATTAATGTAACACAGATTTTTTTAAATAGCTGCGAGTCCTGAACGGCCTACTCCAAATAAACAGGAAGCACAGTTTGTACTGGTATACAGATACGTGATATTGCTTTATAATATCTGTGAGCTATAAACTGACAAATTTACATCACAAAATGTATTTGCTGTTTTTTTGTTATTGGGCCTCCTACGGGGAATCTGAACTAGAGGTGCACCAAAATGAAAATGTCGAAACCGAAACAAAACCGAAATAAAAAAAAATGTCAGGCCGAAAACCGAAAATGTTTTTTTTCTAACTTTATATCAAATTTTTAAAAATATTTTCTTTTTATTTAATTTTATAAACCTTTAAAAAAAAA